TTTCTCACTTATGGACATGTAAGAGTTCAAATTGCGTCTTTCGAACTCAGAAGCCAGACAAGCTAGGCTGAAATTGCCCCTCAACTATTTTCTTATACTAAGGCGCACGGAGCAGACTTCAGAATCTCTTGCGTTTCACAAACGTACGAGCACGTTCACTTTGAAGTCGCATAATTTTTCAGCTCAGGACAAGCTAGAAAACTGAAATTTCACAAAGACGCTCCTTAAACTGATGAGCTTGGAAACGCAAAATCCACTTTCGCTGACGCCTCTGTTTTACACACGGACGAGTAAAATTTTAAAATGCATAACTGCTTGGCGTTCATCTCACTTTCCTGTAAAAGCAAACGCTCCCACAGGTCATCACGAAAAGCGGAGCTATTTATCATCTCAAGTGAATTTTTCGCTGTCATTTTGTAATCTTCTGTACAGCCCCCTTTTCTAAGGGTACTGTTGTAGAAAGAGGCATCATTTCGTTTGAAAAGACTTCGGTTTCTCACAGCACCAAGAATTCCGCTTGAATTGGTGCTGCTCGCAAAAATCTGCTGACCTTCGTGTTTTTAGCGGACCGCTTATAATTACGGTGTGAAAATGTCCCAGAAAGAAAGGTTTCTTAACAGATCATACGATAAAAAAGAACTGCCTATATTAAAAAGTTTTTGAAGCTACCAGTTCTCCAAGGTGCCAGTGCAAGCTTTTCTTGAACATCATTTTCCTGATCGCCTTCCTGGAATGAGTCCACATCATCTGTCAAGCTTTTCATAAGCCCTCCTTCCGGTGCATTGTGTTTCATGTTTGCGCTGTACGTAGAAACTTCTGAAAAACACTACAGTGACAAAGCGGAAAAATTTCAGGACCATTTGCTTGGAAAAATTCCAGACCGAAACTGGCACCTTTTTTCGTCACAATTTCAAATAATTGGCCAACGCACGGCTGCCCGTGCGAAGATGCGTTTTTTGCACAGTTTTCCGCAGTTTTTTTTCGCTATCAGCACCGGTTTTTTCGGCAAATGTTTCTGGCTTAACAAATTAAGACT